CCACCTTATTATTCTAACCATCTTGCAGCTAGTGCCTAGCAGCAGCCAACGTATAGATCTTCATTCTGTACTGTTTTGAACACCCAGAGAAAGCAAACACTCCGGTGCCGAAACTAAGATCTTATTAGATTACTGCCAAGGGCTTTAGATAGCCTACAACGGGGGTGTTTTAATGTCAGTAAGGCTGCTTATCAGTTACTGCTCTCATGCCAAGCTGGTATAGATTGCTTTTGACACCCTTACTGAGAAATGATCCCGTCCTAAAGTTCCTTCCCACTTAAAGTGCATGATTGCTTAGTAGTTAACAGAGGGGTGTAGAAACTCTGTAGTTACATTTCCTACAAATTACTTGTCATATTTCCTTACGTTGAGTCAGATGAGAACTTAAGTAGCCTCTCATGAAACGTGTGTTTCAAAATTAAAATGTACCTGAAGATTCTCTTTAAAAACAAATAATTCTCAACTAGGTGTAGTGGCACACACCTTTAATCCCAGCACTCAGGAGGCAGAGGCAGGAGGATAATAGTAAATTCTAGGCCAGACAGTACTAAAAACTGAAAACCTGTCTAAGGAAAATAAAACAAAACAAAAACCAGAAAAAAAAAAAAAAAAAAACCTCTCCAGAAGTCTTATATACTTATTTACCTTGACAAACCTCAGCTGCAGTAGGAATTCAAAAACTGTTTAATGATAAAATGTGCCATAGTGTGTCCTTTAAAATAATGAAATACTTTACTAGAGGCATGGATAAAGGAAACTTACCATAACAGCCTTTCTTCTACCCATTAAAAGTGAAACTAGAGGTGATGTAGCTCAGTGGTAAAGAGCTCTTCCTAGCATTCATTAGGTTCTGGGTTCAGGCCCCAGTAGGACAAACAAAATTTCTTGAAACTGAGTAGATGTATACTTCAAGTGTGTGTTGACTTCCTAGGGTAACATGAAAGATTACACAATTTTCCCTTCTTTGAATCTAATACTAGTTTTTTAGTAGAAACACATGAAAATACATTGTGTGGGGTAACAGAAGAGGGCACTTGCATATTTGAGAGGCCAGTGAAGACTTTGGGCTAAAGCAGAAACACTGCTATGCATGAACAGGATTATGCCACAGAGTAGTTTGTATTTGCCAAGTGAAGCAGCAAAGAGCTGGGCTGGTAATTCATGCCTATAACCCTAGTACTGGAGAGGTAGAAGCAGGAGAATTAAGGTCATCTTCTACTACATACTGAGTTTGAGGCCTGCCTGAGCTGCATGAGAACCTGTTTCTAAAAGCAAATAAAAAAAATAAAAATTTGAGGTGGTTTTATAATTTAAAAAGGAAAAGAAAGGCATTAATTATACCTGGATCTTTCTCACCCCCAATTCCTACTCCTGCCTTTATTGTTGTGAAGTTGATGTTCTTCCTGTATTTTTATGGTAACTTTTAGTAACCAAGCTATGATTCCATAAATAATGTACACACTATTAACTATTCCTGGGCTCAGGATGTAGTTCAAAGATAGAATTATATTCTACTGTATGCATATGGCCCTGGTCTTGTCCAGGAGGTAAAAATGCCATTCAAAAGAGAAGTGACACTTAAAGTTGTTCACAAGTAAAAAGCAAGTGGAGAAGGACTCTACAATGTCAGTTTAAGGTATCTGAAACTCTGCCGGTTTCTTAAAATGTGACTACTCACTCGGGGGTAAACCATCAGAGGTTCTCAACAATCTGTTCGCAAATCATTTGAGGAGTTTTAAAAATATGTCCACCTGGTGCAGCTTTTAGAATCTAACTGCTCTGGGAAGGAGCCTAGGCAGTGGCATAGTTTAAAGTTCTCCCCAGGTGATGCATTATGAAACCACAATTGTGAACACTGTTCTAGAGTCCAAACCTGCCTGGTCCAACTCAGCAACCACTAGCTCCATGTGCCTATTTAGATTAAAGCTTCAGCACTTGCCAGGCAGTAGACACATTTCACATTCACTCATCACACTGCACTGTAGCCGGTGGCTACAGTATTGAACAGGGCTTGAGACTACAGGGGTGGAACCAAATACACTACTAGTTACAAAGCTACATAAATTCACAATCTATTGCATGTGAGTACCCTCGGGTGCCTGTTAGAGACCAAATCACTTTGCTAAGAGATTTATGAGTTATCTTAATTCTTAGAATTATCCATGGACGAGCACACTATTATTCCCACTTTAAGGAAAGCAAGGGACACTCAGAAATGAAATGACTTGCCTTGGGTTGCAGACAGTCTAGGCTGGAAGCATGGCTCACACTGTTTTAACACTCATTATCAGCATTTCTGTAGTGTGTTCCCCAAGAGTTACAAAAGTACACACAATCATATACTACTTGGTTGCAAAAGGGAATGAAGTTCTGATGTACGCCATGTGGATGAACATATGCTAAGCAGAAGAAGCCAGATACAAAAGGACTAATATTGTGTGACTCTACTTCTGGGAAATACATAAAACAGGCAAATTCAAAGAGTAAGAAAGTAAACAGTGGTTACTAGAACAGGGATGAGGAAAGAATGGGTGGGGGTGCATTATTGAGTAGGTGCAGGATTTGTGTTTGAAAAAATTTTTGAAAACGTTGGTCAGGTACGGTGGTTCAGGCCTGTAACCCCAGTACTAGGGAAGCTAAGCCAAGAGAATAATAAATTCAGGTAATCCTGGGCTACATGGTGAGTTTGAGCCTAGCCTAGGCTACACGAGATTCTATCATAAACAGGATGAAAAAGAGACACTGGGAAAACTTTAGGGGCTGGAATACTTTTGGAAAAGATGGTGCTGATGGCCAGATGGCACTGTGAATACAAAGAACAGTGTAGAAAATGGCACACTTTATGACATATGTGTGTAGGAAAATTAAAATTTTTTAGCTATTAGCAATTCTGTTGCCAATGAGTCCTTGACCCCTGGATTAAACAGGCTTTGAATTTGAAGGCCTTTCAGAGACATCACTCTGCTCCTATGTAGTGTGAAACTCCAAGAGGAGGATGTGGACCAGGCTTGAAGTCCTTTTGTCCAGAGTGTGTAGCCCAAGAGAACCACCTTGGAAACACTTAAGCTTATCATTCCTGTCACTTTCCAGATGTAAGTTTTAACTGATCCACAGAGGATGGACTACCTTGGACTAGTTGAATGTCTGATACAATTTGAGCAGCCAAGTATTGTGTGTTCATTGCTTAGTACCCCATTTTTGTGGTTGGAAACTAGCCTATAGCGAATGCTAAACACATGCTTTACCCAGAACTGAATTTTCTTATATAAGCAGAGGCCACTTGTCATTACTGGTTATATACTTACTGGCTTTCCTAACAAAAGACAAAAGCAATGGAGGTAAGCAGAGCCATAAACCATTTTTTTTTTTCTTGCTATGTTGTTATCCAAACTGCTTTCAAACTCAAAATTAATTGATCCTTCCACTTCAGCTTCCTTTCTCTAAAAACATTACATTTAGTGTGAGAGAGAGAGAGAGAGAGAGGGAGAGAGAGGGAGAGAGAGAGAGAGAGAGAGAGAGAGAGAGAGAGAGTGTGTGTGTGTGTGTGTGTGTGTATGTATGTATGTATGTATGTATGTGGGGGGGTATGTGTACATTAAAGCACATATGTAGAGGTCTGAGGACAACTTAAGAGTCAAATCTCCCCTTCCACCACGTGGGTCCCTCAGATTGTACTCAGGTGTCAAGCATAAGCTTTGGAATCATCTTGCTAGCTGAACTTCTGCTTCCTGAACAGCTGGGATTCCAGGCATGCAACACCAGGCCTGGAATTGTCAGGCTATAAACTGTTAATGAAGGTAATGGAGAATTGTATTTATTTTCTATGCATAGTTAGGTATTTTAAAATGTTAAACGTGTAAGATGTCTTTATTATTTATGAGAGTACTGTCTCTCATGTGTAGAATTTTAAATTATACATGTCTATGACATAATGACTGTGTCCCTCTACATACAATAAGCTATGCGTAGAGATCAGACATGCTTTCCATGTAACTAGAACTCAGCAGGGTATCACCACACCAAGTAACTAACCACCACGACCCATCGTATTACTCAGTTTGGGTTTTAGTATCCTTCCAGCCATGATTGCAGGTGAGATTACTTGTCAAAGAAAATGGAACTAAATAAAATGGATACAATCACCATTTTACAAATAAAAATGAGTTTCTGGTGAGATGGTTCAGTGGGTAAAGAGGCTTGCCACCAAGCCTTATGACCTGAGTTTGGTCCCTGGAACCCACAAGATGGAAGGGTAACCACACTGAAATTTGTCCTCTGACCACCACATAAATGCTAATGTACTCAGACATGTCCCCCTTGCCAAATAAACACAAACAAAAACTAGTGTAAACAAAGGTCCCAAATTTTTTACTATACTGGTCTAATTTCGTAGTTAAGAGGCCAGGATGAGTTGGGCTGTTCCCTTAAATATTTGTTCCTCAGTTTTCTTATCTTTAGGATGGATACTACTAGCTCAACAGGCATGAGGAATTACATTCCAAACTTGCAGCTTCTTCCTGGCATAAAGCAAATGAGGAAAAGTTACCTTTTTCCTTATTCTTTTGCCCTAGGATTTCCCACAGATCTTCTGTATAACATGACCATTTTTGCAGGATTGCTAATCCTCTAGTCAGCAGTGCAGCATGAAGACAGCCCATCAGAGCCACCAGCTATCTGAGGAGCATTCCCTCCCAGCTAGAGATCACTCATGCAGCTGCTTTCATTCCAGCAGGACTGTGGGGTCCAAAGCCAAGAAACCTGGCTCACACCTGGCCACTGGTGCTTGTCATCTGGGGCACCTTGGTTCCCCTCCATGTAGCTTCTCATACTCCAGCAGCCTAGACTACTACTTAAGGTTCAGGGCATTGTTCCAAGAGAGCAAAAAAGTGGGGGTTCCAAACAACATACCAATTTGGAATTGTGTATTCAAAATTCAGTGTGACCATTGCTGTACTTTGTCAATTCAAGTCAGAGCTACCCACATTTGAGGGATATCATGGTCATAGTAGCAGTTCCCACAGGCCTGAAGAGCATTGATGCTGCTAGAGTTAAAGGACAGCTTGAGTTTTAAGAGATTTCATGTTGAGCCTTCATATGCCATTGCCTGCAGTACTGAAGCAAACGAACACGTTGTGAGGTCAATGGCTCAGCATTTCTAATGATAAATGCCTTTAAAAGCAGCAGGGCACTTGTAGTTTCCAAGTTATAACATAACAAAGATCTGGAAGTCCTTATCTTTCTGCCCATGGTGTTTAGTACAAAGGGACTCAATTTACTTTTGTTTCTGTGAAAACTGAAGTGAGCAGCTGCCAATCAAGCAATTCTCTTGAATGCTAAGGGTAGGCAGATCTCATTAGGTTTAATGTTCCAGGGTAACTGTTCATGAATGATTCTGATATCCTCAGATGGCATCCTTTATAACTGCTGAGGCATGAGTAGCAATTGTGCTGTCAGGCTGGTATGCTAGAGAAAACCTCAGTCATTTGGTTGAATTTAGTGCATTGCTCAACAACTTCCTCTCAATGCTGCTATTCTCGGCCTGGGAAGTATCAGTAGGGAAGTCCTAGGAAAGGCTCATAATTCCCAACTCTGATTGACATTTAACATGCTACAGAGGCCTATGTCAGTGTCAGACTCCATGTGAGTGAAGAAGCTTCTCTTGGAAATCTCAGCTCTAGAGTGGTGTTGGTCAGTCATCCAGCCTTCCTTCCCTTGCTGGCTGTGTGGTCAGAACCATAAACCCCTAGGCTATGTAGAGCTGGGACATGAGTCTACTCCACTGATGGACTTTGTGTGTATATGTGTGTCCACCCATGTATGTGCTTGAAGCCAGATGCTGTGTGTGTGCATGTGTCCGTGTGTGGGTGTGGGTGAGTGGGTGTGTGTGTGTCCATGTATGTGTGTGAAGAAGCCAGAGGATGTTGAGTGTACTTTCATCACTTTCCACCCTATTCCCCTGAGACAGGGTCTCTCAGTAAATTTGCAGTGGGCCATTTTGGCTAGGCTGGCTGGCCACCAATCTTCCAGGATCCCCTTTCTCCACTCCCCAGTGCTGAAGTTATAAGCACACGTGGCACATATCCATCTGGGGATTTGAACTCAGGTCTTCCTTCATACTCCCAGAGCAAGCACTCTTGCCCTCCAACCTATCTCCTCGGCCCTCATTTCTTTTTATAATTGCTTTCTTTCTTGAGTTCTGCCATTCAGTCACTTAAGGACTCTGCTGATGAGTAAAAATGGATCCAATAGTAATGCTCTGGTCTATTTTATTTTCCATTTTTAATACAAAGGCCTGGGTGTGCTCAGGATGTCCTGGGCTACTGGACTCATTTTAACTTTGTTTTCTTTTTAACCTTTGTTGCTATCACAGGAGGGAGCCTCACCGGAGCACTGTTTAACCCAGCACTGGCACTTTCGTTGCACTTCCCGTGCTTTGATGAATCTTTCTATCAGTTTTTTGTAGTATACTGGCTTGCTCCTTCTCTAGGTAAGCATATTTTTATTTATTATAGGTTAGGATATTTTGAAAATTTATGTGTATGGGTGTTTTGCATGCATGGGTGTGCACTGTTGGTGTGCCTAGTGCCCTTGGATCTCCTGGAACTGGAGTTACAGATGGGTGTAAGCTGCCATATGGGTACTGGAAATTTAAACCAATTGCTCTGAAGAGCAACCAGTGCTCTTAACTGACAAGCCATCTCTCTAGCCTCCATGGTTAAACATTATATCTTATATTAAAATATGATGATATATGAGCTGGGAGTGGTGATGCACACCTTTAATCCCAGCACTAGGGAGGCAGAGGCAGAGGCAGAGGCTGGTTTACAAAAGCAAGTTCCAGGACAGGGATGTTACACAGAGAAACCCCATCTTAAAAAACTAAAAACTAAAAAAAGACAACACACAAGAATGTTATGACAATTTCTAAAACCAGAGAAGAGATAAAAAGAAAATAAACTTAGTTAACATGCTTGAAAGGATTTTTATTTTGCGCAGTGTCCTTCAAAGTTGTATGTGTGCAGGTGTGGAGGCCTGAGGGTGATTTGGGGGCTGTGATTTTCACTGTACCCGGAGTTCTCCTGTTTTATCTAGACTGGCTGACCAGTGAGCTCAGTGTCTATCCATCTCTGTTCCCACGTACAAGGCACATGCTGCCATACCCCTTTTATGCACCTGCCGGGGATCCAAATTCAGGTCCTCATGATTACACAGCTAGCACTTGCCCACTGAGCCGACTCCCCAGCTCCTAATGCTGTTTTGAAAGAGGCTTGCAGAAATAGTTAGGTGCTTTCCTAGTAGGAGGGGCAATGAAGGGTCATTACTTCCATTCAAAAATAATCTTTTAGCTGGACCTAGTGTGTACCTTCAAATTCTAGTTACTCAGGAAGCTGAGAGAAGAGGATTAAAAGGGCAAGGCCTGCTTGGTCTTCAAAGCAAATTTAAGTCCAGACTGGACAACTTACTGTCCCAAAATATAATGTAAAAAGGATGAGGATACAGCCCAGTGGAAGAGAACTAACCCAGCACGCACAAGTTCTTGCGTTCTATTTCTAGTACCACAATAATTTTTTTAATAGCCGGGATGTGGCTGTGCTGCTGTGCTTGCCTAGCTCTGGGCTCATCCCCAGTACTGCATAAAGCTGGGTATGGCAGTAATGCCTGCAGTCTCAGCACCTGGGAGGTAGAGGCAAGAGGATCAGAAGTACAAGATCACCCTCAACTACACAGTGAGTTTGAGACAAATCAATCGATTGCTCAATTTTTTTGCTAAATAATTATTTTCCCCAAGGTTGTGAGTTTCAAACCAAGTGTTATTTAATCATTTAGGTCTCTTTCCTTATTTGTCAAAGAGCACCTGTGCAACAACACTGTAGTCAACATAGCCTCTAAATGACTCCTAAGTCCCATTCAAGTTAATGCAATGTAGATCAGGATGGGGACGTGGCCCGAGAAGTGCTTGCTTATTATGCTCGAGGCTCTACCTATAGTATCAGAAAAACAAAAATTCTTTTAAAGAGGGATCATCTACCATAACTATAATGATAATGTGTATTTTATTTATTACCAGTATTTATGTTACCAGCACTTCTTGCTTTCATTTAGTCATCAGCTAAATAGGCAAAATGCCTATACAATAAAAGTAATTTATAAAAATTAAAAAAAGATTGAAGATTTGGGGCTGGAGTTGCTACTCAGTGGTCCCAGCTTGTCTACTATATGCAAAGCCTAAATTTGAATCACAACATTGCAAACGAACAAACACAAAAATGAAGCATTACTAATATGCAAGTAATCTTTTAAACTATATTTAAAGACTTAAGCACTGGTTTTAGGTATTTTTTTGTGATGCACTGTAAAACCCACTATGGTGGGGCTCATGAAGAAAGAGCAAGAGCCTACCATACATATTTAGATATTATGGGTGAACATTCCAAGAGCTATCAAGGTATTCCTCCCTTGGAGTCCCACCTATTATCCAGAGATTTTTTCTTTTCCTTAATCTATGATTGCACTACTTTAAAACAACAAAGACATTACAATTCTGCAAACTCCTGCCTCCCAAGCCACCTCTGAGGCATGGAGGAAGCTCTGCCATCTTGCAGAAGGACAAATGACTCAAGTCCAGGGCTTGCTTCTCACCAAGTCTGTAATGAAGCAGAAGTAAAGCTTCTAACACTGGCCCCCGAGTCACTGAACCCACTGTGCATGTACTTACTCAGCACACAGTCATTGTAAGGACTGAGGAGAAAGAGAGCAGCAATCATTAATTAATCATTATCACGTTCTACAAACTCTGGGTTCTGTCTTTCAGGTGTGCTGTTGATGATCCTGATGTTCAGCTTTTTCCTTCCATGGCTGCATAACAACCAAATGACTAATAAAAAGGAATAACCACTCCCAAAGACTCAAACTAAGTCACAGAACAGTCAAACTCTGCCTGCACTGGACTCGTCACTGTTTCAGCTTCCTTTGTGGAAGGTGTCTTAATGTTTTCACTGTACTGTGAAAATGAGGTAGCCTGTCTTTCTCCGTTAAGACTTGTTCTTTTGAGTGATGTATTAAATGCTGCTAGAAAAGGCTCATTCATTAAACCTCTATAAATCCCAGGTGATTACTTACTGTGATGAAAAGCAAGTGAATACAAAGTTAAGTCGGGGAGGACCACTGGTTGGGCAGGACCAAAGAAATTCTGTATTGTGTCCCTCTGAATGAGCTGGACTTAAAGGCTCAACCATCTCACTCACAGAGCTAGAGAAGGTGTTTTTCAGCCACATCCTACTGACACTATCAGTGTTGGCGCCTTTTAATAAAAAA